TATAACGTTTCTAAATATTCAAGCTATGTAACTATTGGTAAAAAAAAACGAAAATATATTTATATTGATTAATTAAATTATTTAGCGAGTATATTTGTTTTTAATTAATCGTATATCTAATCTTCCATGCTAGATGCAGCTATATATGATTATGTCAGTTGTGTATGGTTATAAAATTTATATATTTTTTCCATAAGTAAAAATTATATATTTTACTGGTAACGTCTTTAATAGATTTCTTCTGACAACGCCAAAGTTGTCTGTAATGTAATTCTTTTTCTCTTGTTTGTTTCAGCGTAAGATACATACGGTGTAAAATATGTTTTAAAAAATAACGGATGTGATACACAAATAAAGCCGATGTCATAGAAATATATTTATAGTGAGGACTCGTACAAACAATATCGATTTGTTTATCAAAAATCTATAAAAAATTAAGAATTAATTAGAAATATATAAGACGAAGATGTAATTTAATTCTTCTTATAATAATATATTTATAGCTATCAATATCGATTTTATATTTAAATTTTTAATCAATAACATTAAAATTTTATCATGATTTTTTTATAATAAATGCTATATTTTTCGCGTATAAATGTATTTTAGATGAATATATTAGAGTTGTTCTTTTAACTGAATTTCTTGTACCTTTTTCTTTTTTTTTCTGTTTTAGGTTAAGAAAAAAAGAGATAAAATAAACGATACAAAAGGTTTAATTTAAGAAAAACAGGCTTATTCATTACTTATAAATAAATACAAATTTCAAATGATACATATCATTGATTGAGAATAACCTTCAGTACTTTAGAGATTATATCAAATTTGGATGTATCAAACCAAGCTTCTTTAGAACATGTTGAATTTTTGCTAGTGAATGCTAAAATATAAAGAAGTTTGATGATTATGTATAAATTAATTTCAAATCATCAATAAATACATGAATAATGAATATACAATATACACTATAAGACATACGTATATAAAAGAGAAATAAATATTACCGATCTCAGACATTTCTGAAAAGTTTATCGGTAAATTTTTTTCAAATATTTATTACCTGATTGCGATAAACACTTAATATAAAATTCAATGTTGCACAAATTGACATTATTTATTACGTTCATTTCGTCGATTGTGAAGATTTTAGACAATTCGAAATCCAATATAAGAGAAGGAAAAACCATCTAAAACCATTTATTGTAATTTATTATAATAATATTAATAAACAGATATATTAATAAAGAGTGACAGTATTTATTACTGTTAATTTTATTTTTTCTTTCATACAAAAACAATTTTTATAAATAACAATGTAACCGATTCTCTTCTAATGTTTCTTGCATGTTTAATGGGTGTCATTTTTCAGCAACATATAGAAAAATTATCCTTTCCACTTTCTTAAAATCCAATATAAATCCAATTAAAATCCAATATAATTCGATAATGATTTTGAAAGTGGATTAACACACACACACACACACACGCGCGCGCGCGCGCGCGCGCGCGCATGCCATGCACACGCACACGCACACACGATATACGTACTGTACCGTATACTCTTATTACATACGTTATATTATTCTGTATATTTTTAAATTTGGATATTTTTATTTTAACAGAACTTTTATTTCAAACTATAATCTTATAAATAATTTCATTTTACTGATGTTTATTATGGTATATATGTTATCTAAATGATAAAAAAATGCCAATTAACCTCAATTTAATATTATGAATAATTTATCGCATGTATACAAATACTTACATAAAATTATTTAAAATTTCAACTTCATAAAGTTTTAAATTCGTAACCAAATATATACATGTTTACAATTTATTTTTATAAAATGCATCTTCTCATGTTGACTTTTATAAAAGTTTTCGCTACATTTACTCAGAAGATATGACATGTTTGAAACATATAACAATTTAACAGAATAACGATAAAATTGTTATGTATGTGTATGTACATGTATATTTGTATACATGCATTTTCACGCATTATTGCGAGTATGTGTACATATGCACGTGCACGCGTATGTACGAGTGAACGAGAAATAAAAATTGATAGAACAAATGAACATCATCAAAATAATTTTTCTAAACTATTTTTGGTATTTATAATGAAATATCTCATTATCATTTAAAATTTTTTCATTTTTTTTTCTCCTTTTTTCTTTATCCACAAATATCTCTTTCACTTCCCCATTATTGCCTCGCTATAAATATAAAAAGTATAACAATACGCAAAGAAAAAAAAGGAGATTTAAAACAAGTTTTAAATCTCTTTATTGCGTGAAATATACAATTCCGCTAGAAAGAGCATGTGATAAAAGGAAATCAATGAAAGCGATTACAACGATGATACATGATTGTTGCAAACAAATAGTGAGAATAGAGGTCAAGCCAAGAAGGAATCCAACGAACGAAGAATTAATAGAAGACATAGTATTGTATTCATTATTTTAATTTTGTTCATATCTCATTTGTATGTTAATTAAATATGTAAGTAAGATACTTGAATAATCGAAATCGATAATCGAATAATCGAAAAACAGAATATTATTTGATTCACTTATAAAATTCATGTTCAGACTCATCTTTCTTAATATTATTTTTATAACCTTTCTCAAAATCTTTTGCTAAAACGATGTAACGATTCTCACGAACCGCGTGCATTCCTGCTTCTTGACAGATAGCATTGATATCAGCACCAGAAATTCTATCTGGTCGTGCTACATAATCTTCAAGATCCACTTCTTCGCTCAGGTTCATTTTTGCAGTAATTGTAGAGAAAATTAAACGCTTTTGCCGTCGATCAGGTAACGGAAATTCAATTTTGCGATCCAATCTACCGGGACGAAGTAGTGCGGGATCCAATGTATCCGCTCTGTAAAGTACATAGGAATAAAGACAAAAATATCGCTTATCTTGATAACTATAACAGACTTAAGCAGAGGTTCTACTTACCTATTCGTCGCCATAATAACTTTGACATTAGTCGTCTGATCAAAACCATCCATTTGATTGAGTAATTCCAAGAGAATACGTTGCACCTCACGATCCGCTCCAGTTTGAGCATCGAATCTTTTTGTAGCGATAGCATCTATTTCATCGACAAATATTATAGCCGGCGAGTTCTCTTTCGCCAAACGAAACACATCTCGCACCATTCTCGGACCTTCACCCAGATACTTTTGTACAAATTCAGAACCCACTACGCGAATGAAAGCAGCTAAAAAATAAAAAATAATATAATTAGAAAGAATTTAATCATTTTTCACATAATTAAATATCTTTTATAACTTTTTAATACCAGTAGTATGTCTAGCAACAGCTTTTGCCAACATAGTTTTTCCACAACCAGGTGGTCCATACATAAGTACACCTCGCGGTGGATCAATACCGATCTGCTTATATAATTCAAAATGAGTAAGAGGTAGTTCCACTGCCTCTCTAATTTCTTGCTTCTGCATATCCATTCCACCTATGTCGCTGTACTGAATATCTGGTTTCTCATCTGCATTATCAATAAAATTGTGTTTTAATATTTACAAAGCTGTTTTGTTTTAAGTTAAATGTAACATTTGTGTACACACACCGCGCGCGCGCGCGCGCACTGTTGTGTGTGTGTGTGTGTGTGTGTGTGTGTGTGTGTGTGTGTGTGTACATTTTTTTAGAAAACCAAGAAAAGAATAAGCTAAGGAAATAGCAAGAATAGCAAGAATAAGCAAGAGAATACCGACTACTGTGTTAATTAATAAAAAAAGTTAATTAAATGAAGCATCAAGTAATTAATAAAGTAAAGGTAATTAATAAAGTAAAGTAATTAAGTAAGGTAATAAATTAAAGTAATAAAGTAAGGTAATTAATAAAGTAATTAATAAAGTAAAAATTTCCAATTTTAATTAAACTCTTATCAAATTGTGATTATATTCTTCATTTGTCTTTCGTTTCTTGATCAAATACTTCACTTATTATATGATACTTGAAAGATGTATTATTATATTACCTGCTTGTAACATAGAAATACTAGAATCAGCTTCTGGTGGTAGAACATCTACCAAAGCATTACTATGCTTGTGAAGTGCTACACTAGCTGAAGGCTTTAAAAGTTCTCTGTCTATGGTAGACAAAATCCGTACATAATAATTTGAGCCTGTTGTGGAACCAACTATACCAGTGTTCTGATCAACAGCTTCTAGGAATTGTCCAATGACCAAAGGTACACTTTGGATACGTTTAACTTCTTCTTGAGCATGCAAATATTCTTTCTTTAGGTTACGTTGTTCATCTTTGATATATTCCTCTTGTACTTCAAGAAATTCCAACATTCTCTGCAGTTTCTACTCAAAGAATTATAATAATGTTTTATATATATATATATATATATATATATATATATACACACACACACACACACACACACACACACACACACACACACACACACACACACACACACACACACACAACGAGAGAGAGAGAGAGAGAGAGAGAGAGAGAGAGAGAGAGAGAGAGAGAGAGAGAG